CAGGAATGTTTAACATATGTCTAAGGATCCAGAGGCTTGAATTTCATTTTTACTTTCAGGCAGAGAATGAGAGTAATTTCACTTCTCCTCCATAAACTTTTACTAGAATTATTAAATTTGACTATCACAAGTGAGTGCTTTCTAATAAAACATCCAGTTTTAGAGAGTACATACAGTAATACATACCACTATTGCTGTTACTCTTTCCAGTGTTTACCCAATAAAGCAGGATTTAAAATAAATTAACACCATACAGAAGAGCGTAGCTATAATTTAACTTACAACACAGTACAGTTTGTATTTCCTTGCAGAATGCTTGTTGAAACTTGCAAAAGAAGCCTCTTTAGAGAGAATGAATAGTAATTAGCGTAGAAGTTGGTAAAGCTCATCAATCTGTGGTGTGCATACAGCTATACAGTGTGGCCACATTCCCACACTCTGCACACAAAATAGTAAAATCCATATGATAAACAGGACTTTTCATATGGTTCTAATACAGCTGAGCTGTAGAACCTCTAATTAGCTAAAAATAGCATGTTGGCCATACCAAAAAGGACTTGACAATTTCTAATGTTTGTTGAACTCTAAAGTTTAGGTTGAAGAGTAGAAAATATAGAAATGTTTATAAATATCTGAAGCTAAACTAGCTACTGGTCTTTCAAGGGTACATGGAAGTGGGTGACACAAAAGCATCCTCTGAAAATTGACATCTTTTTGAAATTCTAACACAGAAAGGAATCCTAAGACAGCAGGTTTCCTTCAGAAAGTAACAGCTATTAGTCACTTACAAAAAACACTTCCTCTGAATATTGCATTATATTTTTTGCTTGTTCATTTAGCTGCATTCTTACATATTTATTTAAATTCCTGGTTTTCGTGGAGGAGTTAGTTTTGTTAATGCAGTTCTCACAGAGTTTTTTGTTAGGAGCTAACTTTCTTTTGGTGGGTTAAGTCAAATGCAAATAACACATAGCTCTTAGTTGCTCATATGCTATCCTCATACCCTTTCAGAAGTTTTTTGCAGTAGCACATCACAGATGTTCTCACTGGGCTTAAGCCATAAGGATTAGGGCCAGTGCTTGTTCATATTCCTAGATTCTGACATGTTGACTTGCTTAAGTGATTCTGTCAACTCTGACCTTGCAGGTGGTGTTGCACTACCCTGTATAGATACCTGTACAATTCCAGGGCAGTTTAAGCTGATCCAAACCTGGGTTGCTCAGCCTCGGCATGCATTCCAACATCTTTTATGTCAACATCAGGATTTAGCCATCCAGGTGGAGAAATCTGTGGGTTGAATAACCTGTTAAGAATAAGTAACTGGTTTTCTGTGATACTGGCTGTTTGAATGATTCACTCCTTGATCACATAAGCACCCATATCAACACAAAGTATGAGTATCCAATGGTACCTTGGAAGGATTGTGTCCCTGGGACCATGGCACCTAACCAGAGATTTGTAAAATCACACATTAAAAATCAGAATCTAGGTCTTAAAATCTGAGCCAGCTGCATGTGCTGCAGTGTGCCAGTCTACACAAGCACTGCTGGGACATGCTGAAGCTGCCCAGCAGATTGTATACCCAGACCTCCTTTTAATGGAAACTACTGGACTTAGCAGGTAGTTGTGGCAGGGAAGTTCACAGCTGAGAGCTGATTCAAACCAGAGCCTAACCTCAGCTTGGAGTAGGAAAGCTACCGAGGCGTGCACTTTGATCCAGGAAATCAGATGCCCTTCTGCCAAAGAAATGTGTGGGCAGAAGAGTAGAAATTGATAATCCTGTCTTTCTCTTTTTTTCTTTTCATGATATCCGATTGTATTTGTTATTAATTCTAGGTATGCCACGTGAATTTGGAAGGTCAACCATTCTACTCCAAGAAGGACAAGCCACTGTGCAAGAGACATGCGCATGCCATCAATGTTTAAAAGAATAGCTGGTAGTCAGTAATGCTGGGCAAAAAGAGATGACAAACTGGGCAATTATAAAGTTGATAACTGTGGCTAGCGTTTCTCTTGGTAAAATCTAGGAAGCTGATACTTGTGAAGTTTAACCTCTTTCATAAATGCAGAACATGCTTTTTCAATGTTCATAGAAAGACCTGCTGAATGAACAGTCAAAACCAAATTAACTAGTCCATTATTAAAGCAGCACTTGGGGGAAATATTTAAATGAACTAAAAACTGTAATATATAAAGTAATGTGCAAATACAAATGAACAATGAACAAGTTTCAAATGAACAACCCACAGCAGTTCCACTGCTTAGACCACACATTAGTGTTTACGAACACCTGGAAAACTCCTTTTGTAATCAGCCATTTTCTTTCATAACAAGAATGAGTAGGTGCCACATGCACAATAAGCTGTAGAACCAAAGGCCATAGCTTTCAAAGGAAAATAAATAGTTTCCTCTATGAAAAGTGAATGCTATTCCATTATGTTGTGGTGCTACCTCACAGCATCAAATATTTTAGATTCTTTCCAAATAAGAAGTCTGTCTTGAATCCATATGTAGCTAGGAAGCCTAGCAGACAATCTGTAACTTGGTCTGAAAATAAAGTGGAACCAGTCATGCCTTCTGTAACCCAGTAAGACTGAGAAAAGCGTGCTGGGTCAACCCTGCTTGTGCACTTTGCTTATACACACACAGTAGGTTAGTTCACTTCCAAATCATAATGGAAAAGGACAACTGGCTTTCTCCAAATTGCTCTTGCATTGAATGGAATAGATCTGTCTGGAAAGGACAGCTTTTAATTGTGGAAAAAAAACCACTCAGAGTTGCTTTGGTTTCTAGTTCCTACTGATATCAGTGGGAGGTAAGAACCTACATCTAGACCTTCACATTGGTGAACACAGAAGCAACACGTCCATCCAGCACAGCTAGGAAGTGGGAGATAGCTTGTGAACGTCCCCTGCTCTGTCCCACATAGTTAGGAAAAGAGCTGTTGGGGTTTTTTTGTAAGATGAATTAACATTGATTAAAAATTCATAGGGCAGCATAACACCAAAGGCACATAATCCTTATTAATTTTGTTAGTTTAAATGCAATCCATCCTGAATTCTAGTAGCATTTGCTGCTGTAGAACAGTAGATAGTCTCTGACAATCACAATAAGCGTACAGTCATCTTTTTTAATATTTTAAGAACACGTTTGAAGTTGTTCAGTTATTTATAAAACTTTTTTTTTTTTTTTTCAAAAGAGCAATACTTGTAGTATTGATAATACTTTTGAATTTTTAATTTAAAATATCAATGACTTTTGTATCGGAGGCAGCAGTTCTATCAGATAGAAAATAGAGCTAAAACGAAAAGTCTGATCACTATCCAAGTTTTATTAATTTAAGTGATAATTACTATGTGTGTGGTAACAGCTTGCAGTACTGACATTTGTAAGGCTGAGGATGCATTCTGTGGGCCACATCCTGTGGGCCACATCCTGGTACCATCTCTGGCCTATTTCACCTTGTGTTTTGAGTAGCAAGAAATTACACAGCGTTGTCTGCCTTCTCCCTCCTACGGGTACCACCCATTTTAAGAAAATGGGTGTGTCTTTTCAAGGATGAAAAACTAGCCAAAGCTTGGGGGAAGAATAAAAGAAATGTGGAGTTTTAATATAGGAGTTAAGTTAGCTGCAGGCAGTCTGTATCTTGGACAAAACTAACACCCTGAACTGCCCGTGGCAGTTCTGACGTGTATGACCCGTATTTATTCGGCAGGTATCTTAGTTCACACTGATCTTAGCAGTGACCCCATCTGAGCGCTACAGGGTCAGATCTGTGTATGCATGAATTATTCTAAAACACTGGTACATTATATACAAAGCCTTTGTCTTTTCCACAGCAAACAAATCTTCTGTTTTCAGTTGATGCTGGGCTAGTGTGAATAAGGTTCTATTGATTACAAAATTCAAAGATCTGGCTCATAATATTCTCTAGAAGGATAGATTATAATCACGGAAGTTAAATATTTTTCACTCATCCTTGGTTTCATTAAATACCTTTTCATAAGTGAAACAATTGAAGATTTCCTTTTAATTTTGGCATGTCATTCAACAAAACAATGTTTATTATTCTCTGCCGTTTAAGCAAATTCCTATCAACATATTATATAAGACTGCATTTAAGACATTCTTTAGGCATATTTCTGTGATACTCACTGACTGGGACTAGTCTTTTATTGTCAACAACAAAACAAGGAGTCACTCCTTGGGAGGATGCAAAATGCTAGGGCTTGTAATTCCTCAGAATTTCATGAGGTCTTTCAGGAGACCTCTCACCTCTAATCTGCATGTGTGTATATGTGTCTGGCTCCTCAGATTCCCCCTCGATGTCCCGGAAAGCTCCCTCTTCCCCGGCAGGGTGAAGGATAAAGTGTTCTAGGAGATGGCTGTAGATGGAGGGCTGCACCTTAGGCAGGGGTTCAGCCTCTGAGGAGACGGTGGCAGGCAGCACGGCTGGGGCTGCCTCTTCTTCACACTCGCGGAGGAGCCCAGGCTGGCGGCTGGAGCGGCCCCGGTCGGGCCGTGAGTCGCTGGCGCGGGCAGGAGTGTGAGAGACACGGGGCTCTGCGCGGGAAGGGAGGCTGGGGCCGGAGCAGGCAGCGCAAAGGCAGCGGGCAGCAGGCGGGGGCTCTGCGGGCCTCTGCCGGGTGTGAGAGGATGAGGGGCGAGGAGACGGGAAGCCCTCACTGAAGCCGGGCTTGGAGGAGGGGGAGATAGCCAGGCAAGGCCAGTTTCACCGATTGGACACGTTAGCTGGGTGGGGCAGAGCGGGGAAGGGGGAATAGCCAGGGTGACTCACTAGTTAGGGAGAGAGCTTGAAGCAAGCAGTGAGGGCACACGTAGCTCACAGGAGTCCGGAGAGGTACTATGAACACGTATAGAAAGGGTGAGCAAGAGGGATATAGGATCCAGCCTAGTAAATCTGAAGTCAGTACTGCAGAAAGGTGAACGCAAGGTATGTAAGCATAGCTGAGGAAGCCTGTGGAGTGGCAACAGTGAAAATGCAGCAGCACAGTCTGCAGTGGGAGCCGTACTAACTTGTGAGAGTCCTGAAAATTTCCTTAGGCAAATAACCTGCACTGTAGCACATGCCCTGACTCCAGCTGGTGTCTGAGCAAGTGAGATTAAAGCCAGTTTACATATCACTATATGAGGTACAGTGATATCTCTGAATGAAGAACAGAGATACCCTGAGGATTATAATGTAATAAATTTCCTGTTTTGACTTGTGCTGCTTCATAATGTGGTCCAAAAATAGGGAATCCACTTACCTGTCCTTGACATCTGTATTAAGATACAAGTTTTGCACATATCTGAATGAGAAATTTGTGAATAATAATGTAGTATTTTCATTTTCACAGAGCTAGAATACCACATAACTGCTGATACTCCTCTGGCACATGTCACCTTTGTGATATGGGGCAGGGAAAGATGCGTGTATATATATGTAATCCAGAATAGGGCCTTTCAACCACCACTGAACATTAACGTTGTACAAAAGTATGCAAGATGGGTAATGTGTACTTGTTATATTTTATGTCTTGTAATAGATGCCTGGGACAAGTCCTAAGTTCCTCTAAATATTTCTTTTCATTCTCATTAATGCGGGGTTTTACATAACAAAACGAAGGTACTGTACCTCTGAATGATCAAATACAAAGATCAGTCCTTTATCTAATTAAAACGTGTCCAATAACTTTTCAGTCAAAAGCTTCAAAAATTATCATAATGCCTTTTTTTTTTCTTTGTTTTTTGTTTTTTTTTGCAGAATAGGGTAAATTAAATGTTTCCAAAGATGACTGCTTTTATTATCTGGAAAAAAAACCACTCTTATGACTTCATTTTTTAGAAGGTAGCTTTTACCGTCTTGGATTTACATATTACACATTTCTAGAATCAATTCAAAACAAGGAAAAAATATTTTACTTTGGTCCTTCAGTGGTCAGTACTTTGAGTGAAATGTTTTGTTAAAGATTATCTGTATTTATGTTAAATAATGTGAATGTCCACAGCACTGAACACACTCGTTAGTGTCTAATACTGGGCACGCTAATGTTTATTTGCAATTCTCGTCTTCTGGTAGCAGATATTAATTTCTTCAGTATTTATAAACATCAGAAATTGAAACTGAGTGATTACTTGCCTGCAGTGATCGGATTAGAAGGCTAGGTTTTATAATATATTGACATGTTGACTTGATACCACAAGTGCCCTTGCTTTTAGAGATGTATTTTTTTCTAAGTTCCTAGTTATTTCAGAACCAGAATGTAGTGTGGTTGATGAGGTGTGAGTAACTACCTTGCATGGATTATCTGTGCCAACATGAATAAAAGAGTCTAGTTATAAAAGCAATGTGCAAATACAGTTAAAGCTTTTATGATTTGGGTATATGCATTAACATGGCATGTGAACAGCTGACAGCTTTCGACCATGCAGTACTGGTTAGAAAGCATACACGAGCTTGTACTCACTACTGCAGACCTGAAAATAAAAAGCATTGGTTTCAAGTGTATTATATATCAATCTTGAATGTTTTATGAACCAAATAGCGCTGTTTTAAACAGTTAATAAGCTTAAAAGATGCAGTGTGCTAACAGTACACGTTGTAACTGAGCAAGACTTGTATAGTCACAGACCTTATTGTGTCAACAAATACTGTTTATAGTAACTTTATAAGGAATGGGCAAATTCTGTCTTAGGTTACCTCAGTGCATCTGAGAAGTAAATTTAATTGCATGAGTTTGGGTAGGTGTTCTTCCACTTCTTAGCAGAAATGACTTTCAATAATATCCAGAATGTTTTAAACATCCTCCTTGAGCTCTAGTGCCAAGAAATACTTCCAAATTAAAGAATATCTTCATACAACAGTGTGGTTTATCAAAACAGCCATTTTGTGCATTCCTAATGCACACCCCTCAGGAATGCAGCATTTCTAAAGATACAACTAATTATATTAAACCTAATTAAGAAGCTGGATGATAAATGGACAGACTTGGCTTCAGTTGGCATTACAAAGTACAGCGCCAGGAATCACAACTTTGTGCACTTTGATTTTATTTTACAGCCCTCATTTCTGTTTACAAGGTGCACGAGGAAGAACACTTTGCAAAGGAAGGAACACAACGTCGGCACTTCTCCGCCAGCTCCGAA